TCGGTATTTTGATGATTTTAGCGACATTATACACCGGAATTGTTTCAAATTTTATAGTTGAAGTTCGTAATGGGTACTACAGTTTTGCATTTGAATATTGTAATGTTTTATGGCAAAAGTTGCCTATGCAGGTCCACGTCATCGTATAAACCCTAATATAAAGGCACATTCGACATTTTTTAGATTTTCACAGAATTTTTAACGAATTTTATTATTTTTTTTTTATTTTTTTTATTTTATTTATTTATTTATTTTTTTTTTTTTTTTTTGAAAATTGTCAAAATCGATCCAAAGGGTGGAGGGCATTGAAAGATCGGTCCGGCCGAACTTTCAGCTTTTTTACTTCTGAGTTTTTTTTTTTTGGTTTGTAGTCTAAAGTGGAACACGTATGTATCCAGATACATTTATTAAAAAATGTATTCTTTGCCCAATCCAAATTCGGCCCGGCCGAAATTAATGCGTTTTTACTTGTTTGTTGCTGAAAAAAGTTAAAACCAATAATGAAATAAGAAGGTAAGGCATGGCTACCAGCTAATTAAAATCGTTTTCTAAGAGTGTGTGATAAATGTAATTTGTGCAAAAAACTGGACACTCTGGCCGAACTTTAATACCCTCCATAATAGGGTAAAGAAAATATGTTTACATTAAGGTATCTGAATTCAAACGTGTTCCACTTGAAGCTACAAATGCCAGTAAGACCGCTTGGATAATGCAGTTAAATAGGTCACCTACCAAAACGGAAACCTATAAGGACAATATTAAACAACAAGGTTTGTTTCTATTGTGAGTCTTAAATATCAAATTTGAAACAATTTCATGGATAAATGTGACTAGGATTATCGGAATACCTAATATCAGTGGGTACCGTTATATGTGCGATATAGGAACACGAACACCGGAACTAGAATTCATTATGAACTACGAATAAAAATTATTAAACCGAGGGAAAATGTAGCTAAATCGGAAGGTACCGTTATATATAGGCTATATGAAAACGTGAACCTATACAAACAATTTTCCGCCACAGGAATTAGAACCAGTTACGAACTACAAATACCATTTTTAGACAAATCCAGGGAAAATGTTGAAAAAACCATCAAAATAACGAATATCGGGAAGTACTATTCTGTGGTCCGATGACGTGGACCAGCATACGAAATTTGAAACAATTCCGGTGAAAAATGTAGTTAAAATCAGCAAAATACCGAATATCGACCGAATATAAAATAACGAATTTCAGCCTTATATCTCATTGCGAAAGATGGCGTGATTACAACAGACTATCTTTTACATCAATTTAGACGGAAATCTGAACAGATATCGACACAATTTGGAAAGGGTATTTCCAGCATGTATCTGATATCCTGTACCGAATATCATTGTTATGAAGCGCAATAGGGTTCGTCCTTAGGCCAAATAAATGAATTCTGCCAACGTTTATCTCCATCGGAATATGCTTACGGAAATACATTAATCGACAGACAGACATTAAGCATTGTACATTTTTGATAGTTTTTATCAAACACCTCGAAATGAGACAACGCAAGTCGGGTCTCTATTGCATTGGCCTATTTTGTCTCCTTTTGTCTGTACTAATGCAGTGTAGAGTATAAACAAACGCTGATAATGGATGCTCGTTATTGGTAAGGACACTTTGTTACAAACTAATTTATATAAAATACAAACTGACTACCCCTAGCGAGAATATTTCATACTAATATAATTTAATATATAATATTATTGTACTGTATTGTACTGTATATAAAAATTTTACTATGGAAAGCACATGTCACCCTGTGTCATGTAATAATTCACCACCTATCTGGTAAAAGGTCGATAAAGCAGTTTTATCACTTAAAATCCGTCCACATTAAAATTATTAAACCATTCACAATACACTGTCCTGAACTATACTAGCCGTTTACTGGTGGCAATTTTTATGGTTCTCTAATTTGCTTCTTGCATTATTTTCAGAAATTTCCTTTCTCATCATTAAAATTTCCATCATTTTTATACCCTCCACCATAGTATGGAGGGTATATTATGTTTGTCATTCTGTTTGTAACCAGATGTACATATTAGACCCTACAAAGTATAAATGTTCTTAATCAGCATATAATTCAAGGTACCGACTTATGAGTCATTAAAGAAATTACGAGCCTATACCAGCAGTCTTCTGTCACAGAAAACGGAATCCATTACAAAATTAATTTTAAACCATACCCAATATCGGGAAGGACCGTGAAGGAAGGGCAATGTTATACCATAGGAGGCAATAATGTTAAAATACCGAATATTGGGAGGGACTGTTATATGTGGGCTATATGAAAACGTGGACGTATATAGACAACAGTTTTGCCACTAGAAGTAGAACCCATTATGAAATCTATGAATCGAATTTGAAATAATCCAGTTTAAAAATGTGGCTTAAATTCTTAAAATACCGAATGCCTGGTGCTGCTGTATGGAGTCCTTAAGAAAACGTAGACCTATATAAACATAGCTACAAAGTACCAAATTTGGCACAATGATCCAAATCGAATATGGGTAGGTAGAGTTATATGGGGCTATACAAAATCGTAGACCGACATGTATGCAAAATTTAAGTCTTCTATTTCAATCCTTTCGAAAAATAGCTTATTGCAGACACACACAGAGACGGACATCGCTAAGTCGAATCAGAATTTTCAAGAATATATATACATTGTTTTGTCTACCATGAGTATTTTAAGGACTAACAAACTGAATGACAAAGTTAATATACATACAAGTATGGCGGAGGTTCTAAAAATCGAGAAAATATGTGGATAATGAAAATATCTAATGTCGGTAGGTACTGTTATATAAACGCTACAAGAAAACAATGTTCTTTCACGAAATATAGAAATACTAAGTTTTACAGAAATCCGCTATATAATGTGGTTTAAATCGCCCAAATACTGAATATCCAAAGGTACTGTTTTATGGGTACTATAGTAAAAGGAGGAGTTTTTCCACCTTAGGTAGGACCGGTTACAAAAATATGGACCCATATGTCTCGTTTTCAATAGACACAATACAATCTAATGTGACAAATTTTCAAAGGTCTACGTCCAATAATGTGGGTGATATTGTGATTTCAACAGACAGACGGACAGAAAGACGGGCATATTTAAATCGACGTAGGCTTTTATACCCTCAGCCCCATGGCTAGAGAGGGTATACATCATTTGATACAGCCAAAACGTGCCTCATCGAAATAACGTTTTAAGACCTTAGGTCTCTTTGGACCAAATCCGCTGGTGGCTGGTGGGCATGATAACTCTCGAAGGAAGTATCCGATTTGATCCAAACTTGGTACATCGTAATATTATTATCAAACTTAGATAGAGTTCGGAGATGGGCAATATCGGTCCACTCCTTCTGGTACCTCCCCCAAAAATTGTCAACATTTTCAAAGAAAATAATTTACTGCACAGAAAGAGAAAGGACTATTCGTATTTGCTTCAACTTTCCGAATCCTAATATCTCCATCAGTGCTAGGTCAGATGCGAAAATGGACAATATCGGTTCACTCCATCAAGTACATCCTCCAAAAAGGGACAAAATTTTGAATAATTATACCTCTTATAAAATGTGATGTAAGTGTCCGATTCCGATCTTTCAATTACACACATCTCAATATTTTTATTAACCCAAGGTCTGGTGTGAAGATGGGATAAATCGGTTCACTCCTTCTGGTACCTTCCCCACAAAATTTTGAGTATCCATGAACCTCATAAAACACGAAATTAACAACCGATCAATCAGACTTGGTACATCTTTATATTTCCATCAACATAAGATCTTTTATAAAGATTGTAGAGATAGGACCATTTCTTCTGTACCTCCCCCACAAGGGGTCAAAGTTTTGAATACCAAAACGATCATAAGAACCGAAATAAGCATCCGATTTTCTTCAAATTACACACATCAAAATATTTTCATTAACACTAGGTCTGGTGTGAAGATAGGATATATCGGTTCACTCCTTCTGGTAAGGGTCAACATTTTCAGTATCCATGAACGTCATAAAACACGAAATATCCAAATATTTATGCTAACACAAGATCTGTTGTGATGCTGATATATATCTGCCAACCCCTTCTGGTACCTCACCCACAAAAGGTCACAAATTTCCAATACTTATATACGTCATAACTTGGGAAACAAGTCGGCGATTCTTTACAAATAAATATTTCTCTTAACTAGAATCTGATATGAATATGTAACATATTTGGCATAGAATTGGATTTGAATGTTCGATTTCCTTAAAATTTTGCACAAACCAATATTTTTTCTGAACATACCGATATTTTATCTGTTTTAGATGAAGTATGAAAATGGAATACTTCGGTCCGCTCTATCTGTTACTGGTCCGCTATATCTGTTGGTCAACAGTTTGAATAATCATAACTCATGATTGGGGATATGCATCTGTCCGCACAACCGACTGATATTTTTTACTTGTTATACTGATCATGTACATATATAATACATAATGGGGCGATAGGGCGATAATTTTAAGCTTTTACAAACGGTTCCACAAATTTAATATACCCTCCTTTCCATGGTACTCAACTGCGTTTATACTCCTGTTATATTTACTCCATCAGGTATTTGTGACAAGGCAAAACACATATAGAAATAACCTATTTTAAGAATAAAATAGTGTCCCATTAACATAAATATATTTAGGAATTCCCGCCATGCTATTCACAACTTCTCTCATGATGAGCGTATTATTGTACAAATACCGGGATATTTTAATATTGACATGCGCACAACAACATCAAGTGACAGAAGTCCTTTGAAACACAACAAAGACAAGGGATAACGTCACATAAATATAAATGGAAATGGATGGCGGTGGGAGCATTGGGAAAAAACACAACAATGAAAGCTGTTACTAACAAAAAGCTTTACAAACCATGGCATTAACTTTGAATGTCCTTTATCCTGTGAATTAGTTCGTCAGACCAACGCACAGAAAGTAGAAGTAGCACCGCACGGGCAATCATTACCATTCATCACAAACATATACATACACAGATTTTTGTGTTGATTTTTTATCGTTTAATTATTGGCATAATTATTGTTGCATTGTGAACAAAAAAATTGAAATAATAAATAAATAAAATAATTTAAAAAAACAAAATAACAAGAACCAACTTGTAACCGACCAATCAATCCCACAAAAAAAAACGAATTTATTTTTTTATAAAACGTGAAAGTGGCCAATGATTTTTTCTCATTCGAAAGTTTTAATTGAAAAAGTTTGTCATTGAGAGTGTGTTTGTAAATGAAAGTGAATATACAACAACAAATTTAACATTAAAGTTCAACAAGTCACAATTATTTAGGGAAAATTATAGACCTTATGTGAAAGCCTCTGTGGTATTTAGCTGCATACGCGACAATATTTCGAACCACACACCAATCCATCAAAGTTGCCAAGGAGCTATTTACAACGTCTCATACCAAACAAAAATGAAGCAAAATAATTAAAAAAAAAGTGAACAATTAAATCAAGAAAATATTTTACCCCTATAATTAAAAAACAAAATTTCTCAACGGAATATACTTCCCTCGCAAACAGGGACTGATTGACGACCAAAGCAAACGAACAACCACGGAACTGTTAGTTCATTTAAACCAAACTAAAAAATACCATAAAAAACGAGTTTTATAGCGCCTTTAAATTACTGTTATTGAAAGACCGCGGACAAATTTAATTTGAAATGGGTCGCCGCAAGGATAAACCACGCCTTATCCCAGAGCAGGATAAACGCATTTGCCGCGCCATATGCCTCTGCCAACTGACCATGGTGCTGTCCTGTGTGTCCATTGTTTATTTGAGTGTGGCTATTTATTCGCCCTCATTCAAGTGAGTTTTGTCTTTGTAATTGTATATTTGAACAAGTGCCGACTAGGAACGTTTTTATGGATATTGTTTACATGACGCAATAGGGAATTTTTTTAATTTCAGTCAAGTTTTTTTTTTATCAAAAAAGGTTATTATATAGTTCTAGTGTTTTGCATAAGTCTCCTCCCCCATTTAAGTTTATTTTCGACTAATTGAAGGACCTCCCAAAATTGTTTTAAATATTATAGTCCCTGTTTTGAATTTGCACTCAATTATTAATAGTTGGGAGATAATAATGTTGGTTTTGTAACGGATAGATTTGTTTATACTAATTATACCCTACACAACATAGTGGTAAGGGTATTATATCTCTGTGCATTTGTTTGTAACAGGGAGAAGGAAGCGAGATAGACCCATATTTACTTTTGAGGATCTTCATAGAATCACTTTCCGAGTCGATTCATTCATGTCAGTCCGTCCATGTATTTTTGTGAACAAAATGCAGGACGCATTTATTATCCGATTGAGATGAATTTTCCAAGCAACATTTGTTTGGCCCAAGGACGAACACTATTGAAATTGGTGATAATCGGATCAGATTTGGATATAGCTCCCATATATATCTTCAACTGATTTCGGGTTAATTGTGCACCAAATGGCCAATATAAGTCCTAATTACATGAATTTTGGTACATCCGAGCGAATTCAGTCTAGAAGCAAGCACATCCAATTTGAAGAAAATCGGTTCAGATATAGCTATAGCTCCCATATATATGTTTCATTCGATTTGTGTCCCCCACATTCGTAATATGTACCCCCACAAAAATTATGTTTAGTATCAGATATCACATGCAGCCCTGAAATTTATCTGCCAAATTGTATAAAGATAAGTTCAGATTTGGATATAGCTCCCAAATCTAGCTTCAACCGATTTCGGATTAATTATGCACCAAATGGCCAATATAAGTCCTAATTACATGAATTTTGGTACATCCGACCGAAAGTACATCAAATTTTGTGAAAATCGGTTCAGATATAGCTTTAGCTCCCATATATAAGTTTTCCATATATATGTGTCCTTAATTCGATTTTAGGTTTATTGTGCAAATAATGGCTAATATCAGCCCAAATGGAGTGAATTTTGGGACATTTTGTGGAACTCGGCTCCGATATATATTTTTATACCCTCCACCAAAAAAAGTATGGAGGGTATATTAAGTTCGTCATACCGTTTGCAACTCATCGAAATAATCATTTTAGACCCAACAAAGTATATATATTCTTGATCAGCGTAAAATTCTAAGACGATTTAGCCGTCCGTCTGTCCGTCTGTTGTAATCACGCTACAGTCTAAACGAATTAAGATAGGAAGCTAAAATTTTGCACAGATCTCTCACAAAAGCAGTCCCTTGTGGACATTTTACCCCTTCAGAAAGAATTGTCTATTTAGGTCCACGATATCGTATATCCCCCATATAACTGTACCCCCGATATTCGGTATTTTGATAATGTTAGCCACATTTTTCAATGGAATTGTCTTAAAATCCACACAAGTAGTTCCTTGTGAGTACTTTACCTCCTGAGAGAGAATTGTCTATACAGGTCCACGTTATCGTATATCCCCCATATAACGGTATATAACGAATTGTCTGAAATTCCACAAAAGGAGTCCCTTGTGGGAATTTTACCCCCTCAAAAATAATTGTCTATATATGTCCACGATATCGTATATCCCCCATATAACTGTACCCCGATATTCTGTATTTTGATGATGTTAGCCACATTTCTCAATGGAATTGTCTTAAAATCCCCACAAGTAGTTCCTTGTGAGTACTTCACCCCCTGAGAGAGAATTGTCTATACAGGTCCACGATATCGTATATCCCCATATATAACGGTACCCCCCGATATTCGGTATTTTTATGATTTTACCCACATTTTTCATCGGAATTGTCTGAAAATCCACACAAGGAGTTCCTTTTGGGTACTTTATACCTCGGCAGAGAATTATCTATATAGGTCCACGATATCGTATAGCCCTCATATAACGGTACCCCCAATATTCGGTATTTTGATGTTTTTAGCCATATTTTTCAACGGAATGGTCACAAGGGGTTCTTTGTACACAAGGGGTTCTTTGTGAGCACTTTACCCCCCGACAGAGAATTCTCTATATAGGTTAACGATAACGTATAGCTCCCATATAACGATACCCCGCGATATTCGGTATTTTGAAAATCCACACAAGGAGTTCCTTGTGAGTACTTTACACGCAGACATAGATTTGTCTTTATAGGTCCACAATATCGTATATCCCCACATATCGCACCTTCTTATATTAGATATTTTAAAGATTTTAAAAGAATTTTTAATGGATTTTATTATTTTTTTTTTTTTAAATTTTTCTAATTCGTTCTAAATGGTGGAGGGTATTCAAAGTTCGGCCCGGCCGAACTTACTGCTTTTTTACTTGTTTTAATATAATCTTTCTCGAATTGATATCATGCACTCTATAATAATGTTATTTGGTATTAAAAATTACAATGTCTTCGTCAAATTTAGTGAAAATCTATTCAGAATTGGATATGGCTCCCTATGAAGAATTGGATATGGCTCCCTGTGAAGAATTGGATATGGTTCCCTGTAAAACCAGATAGGTGGTACAAATAAATTCTTTTGTTTCGGAGCTCTACTAAATATGCTTATTGGTGTAGGTATCTTTACTGGTGTTTTTGGATGAAACCTAATTGTATTGATATTAAAAACTTGATATTGTGAAACAAGTAAAGCAATTTTCTGCCAGTTTGTATCGATTACAAACTCCAAATATCAAATTTGATACAATTCCGATGAAAAACGTAAAACAAAGAGGAAGTCACTTATAATTTACAATATTCATTTACATGTATTCTATACTAGCAAGTGCCCACTACATCGTCAGCGGAAAGTCCACCTAAAATCTTAGATTCATTCCAACAGATCGTGTTAGGTCTTTTTATACCCTCTACCATAGTAAGGAGGGTATATTAAGTTTGTCATTCCGTTTGTAACACCTCTACATTTTAGATAAATCATGTGAAAAAGCTGTAATTTCGGAAGGGCCAAACTTTGAATCCCCTCCACCATTTGGAACGAATGTCGCAATTTTCAAAAAAATAAAATCCGTTAAAAATTCTTTTAAAATCTTAAAAATACCGAATGTAGCCGTTATATAAGAGTCTATACGACGACGTGGACCTGCATAGCCAAATTTTCATAAGCCATTACAATATGCAAATGCAAAACTTGATAAAAAAAAAAAAAATCAGTGAATTATGTAGCTAAAATCATCAAAACACCGAATACAAGGAGGTACTACTATATGGGGGCTATACCAAAACGTGGACCTGCACAGACAATATTTTGTGTTAGGCTGTAGTATTCAATACAACCTTCAAATACCAAAGTTGAAACAATTCCGGGGAATAATGTCGCTAAAATCATCAAAGTACCAAATATCGGGAGGTACCGTTATATGGGGGCTATACCAAAACGTGGACCTACATCGCCCATTGTCAATACCAAAAGTCCTACAGACATAATACACATTTTAGTAAAATTATATCAACCTACTTCATTTCTTTCGGAAGCTAGAGTGATTTCCACAGACTAGTACTACACTTTCTACTACTTTCGCGGTTCCAACTCTATCCATTAACCAAATACCCAATTTAGTACCACTCAGTACTTTTCAAACAATTATAGTAGACAACTGAGACCAACAGAGGCCTTATTATCAAATTTCGGGATTCCAACTCTCTCTTCACCCAATACCAAATTTATTTCAAACCGCCGCCAAATGTCAAACCCAGATACCACCTGTAATCTAAATATAAAATTTCAGAATTTTATCTTTATCCCATCACACAATAACAAATATAGTACAATTCAGAACTTATCGCACAATTATAGTAAACATTTCCGAAACCATCTCCACTTTTCCAAACTACAAATTAACCGTTTTCAGATTTGAAGCGCTATATGTGTACTTAATATCAAATCGTGCCAAACGTAGTACTATTTAGTACTTTTCTTGCACTTGTAGTACACATTTCCAAAACCAAGCACCCAAACTTACCTCAATACAAATTTTTCAAAATTTCAGCTTCATCCGCCCTCAACCAAATTTAGTACCATTTAGTACAGTTTTCACACCTAGTACACATTTTCAAACCCATCTTCATATATCAATCTTACAAAATGATTTTCCTCGCTCAGGATACCAATTCCTTGGACTATTGTGTCTGGAGTATTTTGAAAAGCAAGGTTGGCACTAAAAAAGTACCAAAGTGTCGATCATCTTAAGCAAGCGCTTCGCAGGGAATGGGCCAAAATACCGCAGAGCAACATTCGGACAGCGTGTGACGGTTGCATTGGCCGTTTGAATGCCATACTTCGTGCCAAAGGTGACCAATTCGAACAAATCTAAACTTATTCTAAAATTTGACATTTTTTTCATTCAAAAAAATTTAAAATTACTTTGTTGCTGTTTTTTTTCATATCACAATGTAGATTAAGTTATTGTGCTTTTCAGCTGAATACTCTTACACATTTAAAACCATGGTAGGAAATGGAACAGCTTCGTAAAATTACTGAAATAGATTCTCTATTGACTGCAGGCAGGTCAAGTTCGAAGATGGGCTATATTGGTCCAGAATATCGTATAGCCCCCATAAAAGGTACCCCTCGATATTCGGTATTTTGACGATTGTAGGCAAAATTTTCAATGAAATTATCTAAAAGTCCACACAATGAGTTCCTTCTGAGTATTTACCCCCTGGAGGAGGAATGTCTATATAGGTCCACAGGGGTCTTCGTATAGGCCCCGTATTTCAGTACCTCCCTATATTCGTTATTTTAACGATTTTAGGTACAATATTCACAGCAATTTTTTGAAATTTGAAGTTCCTAATAGGTACTACTGACTGTGACAGAAAATTGTCTATGCAGGTCCAGGTCTTCGTATATCCCCGATATAGCGGTACCTTCCTATATTCGGTATTTTGATGATTTTAGCTAGAATATTCACAATTTGTATATTGTACACGTCTTCGTATAGACCCTAATATAACGGCTATATTTGGTATTTTTAAGTTTTTAATATGGATTTTCAACGGATTTTATTTTGTGAACATTTCCAAATTCTTTCCAAATGGTGAAGGGTATTCTAAGTTCGGCCAGGCCGAACTTACTGCTTTTTTACGTGTATATTCTACTATGATTGTAACGAAACACAAATAGAAGTAATAACAACCTTGATCCCAATATTGTATATCAGAAGAAAATAAGGAGATTATCAAGTAATATGTGTGTGAGTTCTCCTTGTCCATAGCTTTGGAATTTACATCAACAAACCAACTAACTCTTACCACCAATAAATTATTTATTCTAAAAATATTGATTTTTGTTAAGGAAATATTGTTGTTGTTGTTGAAAACATTTTCCACCCTTGTTCTATTTGTAGAGCCTTCAAGTCTGGTTTTGAACTGGATCCGGTAATGTGCCAAACACACAACTCTGAAATGCCAGACAGTCATTGTGCCTGGGCATCGTGCGGCGAATGGTGTCTAACACGAACCAGTGGCTTTTGTCCGCAGATATATTCAACAGTACGACGAAACGGCACCGATGTGCAATTTAACAATTGTTCAAAGAAGTTTTTTTCAAAAACGACATGTCCAATGGTAAGTTATTTAGGTTTTCTCTTTTGATGTTTATTTTGAACACCCACACATAGTGGTGGCTGGTGACAAGGGTCAGTGACAACACCGCAACAACAACAAGGATATGAAAACAAGAAGAAGAACAATAAGAAACGTTCATGGGGAGAAACTTTGCTAAAATATTGTTTGTTTGTGTTATGTGTATCTAAGAAAATATAATAAGAACAAGTAAAAAACATATTTAGTTCGCCGAGGCCGACATTTTTATAACATCCACCGCGTGAAAATTGGACAACAAGTGGATCTACATTAAACATTTTGGTAAGGGGTTTAATTGTTCGCTGAGAATCTAAAATGGCAAACCTTAAAAATATGGCTGTAAAATTCCAGGTGACTTTGAATAGGGATTGAATATTGGGCCCACTTCCATATTTTCCAGTGAAAAATCTTAAAAATCCCCTAAGTCGATGTTTCCGTTTTCCTGTTAATTTGTTGCGAGTTTCAAATTGCAAATTAAAAAAAAATCTGTTAAAGATGTGGCTAAATTCACCAAAATACCAAATATTCGAAGGTATCGCCTTAGGGGTGATAAAATAAATGATTTTTATGTTGGGCGCTATAGGAAGACATAGATATATGTAGGTAATGTCCTGCCACCAGAGGAAGAATCCGATACAACCTTTCAAATTTGGGAGAATTTCGTGGAATATGTGGCTGAAATCATCAAAACACCGAATATCGGGAGATGCCATCATAAGAAAACGTGGACCAATATTTCCAATGTTCCGCCACCGGAGCAAAACCCATTTAGAACTACAAATACCAATTTTTAGACAAATCCGTGGAAAATGAGTCTTAAGCCAAGATAACGTTATATGGGGCAATAATAAAACGTAGACCTATACAGCCAATGTTCAGCCACGAGGAGTAGAACCCGATATGTCCAATGTTCCGCCACCCGGGCAAAAACCCATTTAGAACTACAATTACCAATTTTTAGACAAATCGGTGGAAAATGAGTCTTAAGTCGTCAGCATTCCCAAGATAACGTTATTTGGGGCCATAATAAAACATAGACCCATACAGCCAATGTTCGGCCACTAGGAGTAGAACCCGATAAAACTATAAATATAAAATTTGGAAGAGCTCCGTGGCTAAATTATCATCAATCATGGCTTAATTATTATCAAAATACCGAGTATCGGGAGTTGCCGTCATAGGATCATTGTAGACCTATACGCACAATGTCCCGCCACCGGATCTAGAACCCATTAAAAACAACAAATACTAATTTTTAGACAAATTCGTGGAAAATTTGCCTAAAATCACCAAAATACCGAATATCGGGATTGCTTTGATCAATTTTTATGACTAAGAGTTATCAAATTCTTATTGAGAAAATGTACTCAGTAAAAACTAATCAGATAACCCAGAAGTCCGCTGGCCATTACAAATATACAATAGGAGAAAGTGAAATAACAGTGGTTAATAGCATACAACTAGCATCCGATTTAGATGAGTCGTATTGCTATAACATTGTGAAACCAAATCCATATTAGAATTAAAGACCAAAAAAATATAATAAAATGTTATCATCGCACTTGCATCTGAATCGGATATCGATAGATTTCGAACCCATCCAGCTTTCGCTTACCACGCGGTTGATTTCTGACCCATCCAACATTCGCTTAAATTGTTGGTACATTTCGGACTCGTCTGACTGCCTAGGTCATTGCTGTGTAAATGTAAGTAGAAATTGTATACAGGCTTTGGATGAGTCGCACCTACATTGCCATTGGTCTCAGTTGGAACTGCAGTTATCTATCAATACCCAAAATCCAATAAATTAGAGCGATACAAAGATAGATTTTGAATTACTCTTACTGAGAACATTTTCTCAGAATGAACAAAGACATAAAACCATAGATCATAGATCAGCCACGCTCACAATAGTGTGGTGGTATGAGACTCTCTCGCCTTGCGAAATCAATAGCAAATGAAAATCAAGAGAAATACGTATGCTTTGTTAATACTTTTTCGTTCAAGGGTGCTCATAGCTGCTATAAGGATTGGACAAAATACATATTGCCGTTTAAGGTCTCGATCAGAAAAGAATGCATTGGAAATATTACAGAAATCGCCGATAAATAGCGAAAACCGCGGAGAAAATCACCAGATTTGATGGACATGGTCTCAACAATCTGTTAAAGAACATTTCTTCTACAATGAACCGATAAAAACAGTGAAAGCTCTACACATACATATGTTTTGAAAGAATAGGGACACCCTAAGAAAAAATTGCATTTAGGGGGCAACTTTGTTCTACCTTCTATAACTATGTCACATAAAAATCTAATTATTTTTGAAAAAAAAAAAAACGTTTTAAAGTTTTTGACACATCAATATTCCCAAGGCTTGATGCGTCTGCCTGTATGCTTCTACCATGGTACGAAGTAGACAAGGTGAGCTAAGTTGGAAAAAGTTGCAAGTATGGATTGTAATGTCTATCAAAACAAATGTAACTTTTTTGATATCAAATAAACGGAACATCTTGTTGCATTGTTTTTGAATTAATAAACAAAAAACTCAGTCTGATTTATTTTTAATATACTGTTTCACATGTCTCCAAAGATTTATTTCGTTACAAGAAGGGGAAAAAATTCCGTCTATACTTTCGTTGTAAAAAATTTTGATTTCAACTGAATTTAATATTTTCTTAAAAAATTTTACACATTTAGCTACTTGGTTACGAACCAAAGTGATTTTTTGAAGATGAAAATGAGAGTTTTGTTTTAGTCTATCTTTATACTATATGGACTGCGACTGGACTACATACACCCTTATCACACATATTGACAAATGATGTTAACGGCGCCAACGCATGGGTCTTTCATATTTCTGTAGTTTTATAGTTGTCAGTTTTTGGGGACTGTATAAAAATAACAAATATGAGATAGTAAAACGAATCAGGTAGTTCCTCCTACTATGTAAGCATAAGTTTTTTTGCATTCAAAACAAAATCCATATATAATAAAAAGGTTAAACAGCCAAATTTACGTAATATTAATGCTATATGTAAAATGAAAAAACAACGTCGAAAATTTTTGTTACATTTTAAAAATTCCGAATATAAATATTACACTTATATGGGAGCTATACGAAAATGTGGTCTGTCTGAGAAGGGTTTGAACTCCAAATACCAAATTTGAGATAATTCTGTTGAAAATTGTAGCTAAAATTATAAAAATATATTATATCTATACAAAGATTTGTACAGGCAATTATCTGCCAGAGAAAGCGGTTTTATTGCGAATACCAAATTTGAAATAAAGTGTGTCTGAAATCATCAAAATGTGGGAACTGTACCGAAACTTGGACTTATATGAGCAATTCTATGCAAACAACAAACAAGCAAAATACCTCAAATCTGCAGGTATGGGGGATATACCAAAACGTGGACCTATGCGGACCATTTTCAATACCAAAAATAAGATAATATACGTATTCGTATACGGATCTAAAATACGTCTGAGTACAATTGTTTTAACTTGTTTTTACTTGATTTCGTTCAAAAGCTGGAGGGATTTCCACAAATAGACATGGAATATTATGTTGATCAAGAATATATATATGCCCTCCATACTATGGTGGAGGACATAAATAGCTCGGAGAGGTCCAGTGACCCCACGCTTCGCAGGAGGCTTATGGCACGTTTGTACAAAATTTTTACCCCGTTTAACAGTGATAATTGACCAATCACAATAAATGTAGCGTATGTGTCCTATAGAGATTTTTCAAGTACCTTTAAAGTTTATTTGACATAAAAGAGTTCACATTATGTTAAAAATATGCATCAATATTTTTCTGCATACCTACCTACTATGAATTCATGTTTACTACTTTGTATAACCCTAATGCAACGCACAGAGCCGAAAATACAATGACTTTTTTAACCATGTGCATGGTTAATTTTTTCATGGTAAATGTTTGAGATTACAAACACAAAATAACGTTATATAAGGTCAAATGTAGATGAAAAATAGTTTAATTAACGTTGTATAAGGTTGTTGTTTTTTGAGAGAGACGGAAAAATGTGAGAGATACATAAAAATTTAAAGAGCCTTCGGCTCTGTTGTGGTCAACAATTTTGAACTGCTTTGTGTTTGACGAAGTTCAATATTACAATATACGAAGTTGCAACGAATGTGACTGTCATATTCCCCCTCCTCCTCTTTATCGAATATCTTTCTGTGGTCTGAATATGTGTAAGAAAGATCAAATAGACAATCACTTCTTTAGTTGGTGTTGAATAGTGCAAGGGAGTAGTGCACGTGCTCGTGGGAATAGTGCTTGGTATAAAGGTAAGTAAAAGCTGGTGAAATTAACAAATATATTTGATTGTAATTTGTATTTGTTTTAATAGAAAACCCTGATACTATTTCAACATAGTAATGTGTTATTACTATATTCAAATTGTATCAGATTTGTCTATCAAATAAACTATAAATTACAATAAAGAAACAAAAATAACGGTAATACATGAAAAAACAAGCAACAACAACGTATATGCAGGGACAAGCAAAAATGAGGAGAGAAATAATGTGTGAGTGTTTATTCATACATATGTGTTCTTTTTGTCTTTGCTTGTGGCTGCTACGACGTACATTAGCGTATGCATTTGTCACCAAATGTACGTTGTTGTTGTTGTTGAAGCGACAGTGTTCATATTTATGTATATCTTTTTGTTTTTTCTTCTCAGTTGTTTTTTTCTCTGGTGTCTTTTTTTTTTGGGTGCTCGTGCGTACATTTTTGGTAAGTTGTGACAATACTATTTGCTTTTATTAACTACTAGTTTCTTCTTCTGTTTTTGCAGTCGGTGTTTGGCGTTTTGTAGTTTTTTTCACAATGGCTGAGGAATATAATTTAAAATCACTCGGTAAGGCGTTAAAAAATAAAATTTATATTAAACATATATCTTTCTTTACCAGCCCTCCCTTAAATATACATACAATTTGTAATGGAAATACATATTTTAGAAATATGCGGTATTAATAAATAAATAATAAATAAACTTGTAAAAATTACATTTTTCTTGTATTATTCAAACAAAGGTTAATATATTATTAAAAATTATCATATGAACTGTTTAGACAAACTGACTATGAAATGTTATTATTAACAATTCTCATGGTTACAAAAATTTAACAGTGCATTGTTAAAACAACAATTTTTTTTCAATATCAACAATTTTCGTGGTTAAAAAAGTCAATCATGGAATAGCTAAAGTAACGATGATTATTTTTAAATACCAGTCAACAAGAAAATGTTTAAATTAACCTTACATAACGTAGACTCCAAATCATGTTTATTTATGGTTAAGCTAACCTTGTATAAGGTTAATTTTTTTCTCTGTGCGATAACTCCCAATTTTTGGGATTTGGAAAAGTACAGACAAATTTGAAATTACGAGTTAAAATGTACTTTAGTGTGTGCCGGCCAAAATGTATAAAAATATGATCAAAATTGTATTTTATTTTATTTATTTATTTCTATTTATTTATTTATTTTTTTCTTTGCAGCCTGATATGAAAACTTTGGCAAAGTTCAATTGCAACAATGGTACCGAGTGCAATCATTTGAAAGGCGTATTTAACTGTACTAATGGTAAGAACACCTTTAAACCAAAATTCTCTTGTAATGTTTATGTACTCTTACATGCACAATTTTTAGGACACTGTAGAAATATGACTCAATCATTCCTGTGTCACCACAAGGCCGATGGACCAGTTATCAATTCAGCCAAGGATAACACCAAACTAAATGGTTTCTTTGAATGCAAGGGCATCCATTGTACAAAAATCCGAAAGCCATTTACGTGTGATCGAATTTGTAATGCGATTGGAACATCTGAACGAAATGTTATGCTAATGGAGGTAATGTCACCCACTGCTTTCTTTAAATTAATAAAGTCTAAAAATATTATAAAATATATTAAAAATATTTTTTGTCTTTAGGACAATAGTGTCATAACGGCAGATTGTGAAAATGCTGTCGCATTTAATGAGGCCAGGGGTAATGAGCCTGGCGTTCGCATTGATCCCACGGAATTTTGGAAACAAGACGATGGAGTTCTCTTGGCAAATTGTGCCTCAGTTACAATCGCAGATGTCCAAGGGGGCAGGACAATAACGTAAGCATCTTTATAAACAACATGTAAAACACATTAAGTTCGGTCGGACCGAACTTTCAATACCCTCCACCATTGGGTAAAGAAAACATTTTATATAAAAGTATCTGAATTCAAACGTCTTCCACTTTAAACTACAAATACTAGTAAGATACTAGTAATGCTGTTAAATTTTTCAAAAACCCATAAAGGAGGTGAGGCCATCATATGGCATTATAGACAATTTTCAACTTCAAGGATTGTCATCTACCAAATTTTCTTAAATACCAACTTTGAAACAATTTCGTGGGTAAATGTGACTAGGATTATCAAAATATCCAACTTCGGTGGGTATCGCTAGAGGACAACATGGATCTATATATTCAATGTTCCGCCACAGGAGGTAGATCCTATTATGAACTACAAATACCAATTTTTGGACAAACCCGTAGAAAATGTGGCAAAAATCTTCAAAATATCGATATCGGAGGTACTACTATACGGGGGCTATACAAAAACATGGACCTATACATATCATGTTCGCCACCGGAGCTAGCATGCATTTTTTGTAATGGGCTGTAGTACCTATTACGAACTTTGAAACAATTCCGGTAAAAAATATCTCTAAAATCATCAAAATACCGAACCTTGGAAGGTACCGTTATATGGGGGCTATATAAAAGTGGATCGACATGGCCCACTTACGAACTGCCTACTGATAAAATACACATGTGTCCAAAATTAAAGCCTATATCTCAATTCGTTCGAGTGTGATTACAACAAACGGACACACAGACAGACGAACATTGCTAAACTTACTTGGAAATTTACACCGATCAAGAATTTATATACTTTGTGGGGTCTAAAATGTACATTTCGTGGTGTTACAAACGGAATGACGGAACAATAATGGAGGAATAGTGGAAGGTATAAAAAGCAATAAGTGTAAATTGAGAGAGGACATTTGTACCACTGTCAAAAGCCTATGATATAGAAAGGGGTACTTCGCCATCGCCAACTTTGCTTGTAAAGCAAGATTTCAATAAAAGTGCGAACCAAATCAATTTATTTTATTGATAACTTGGTTTCAGATTAAAACTACAATAAAGGCATTCTTCAAACTCTTTAAGAGTTCCTTTTTCAAAATTTTTTGAATAAAAGTACTGTACTGCCCGAATATGACTTGACTTGTTAGTTATACAACTAATATTGATCGCGAAATGAGTGAAAAAACTCAATTTCCGCGTATCTAATATTTTATTAAAGTCTTCCTGTTCAATTATATTGCAACATTTTCTTTTACCATGTATTTTTATAAATCTTTTACAGCGCCAAGGATTGCATAAATGGAACTCTCTTGCCACCAGGAACTTTACCAAATTCATCTATGAATTTTACCGATTTTTGGAAAATCTATGCCGAAAGTAAAGTTGAAGTAGATCCGGAACAACGATTTTTACCCAATCAACATAATTTGACAATATATAAATCCAAAAAGTTATTTATCAATTTGGAGGGTTGTGTCAATACGCTCAGGGGTGAGTGTAAAGAGTTCTGGGCCCGTCATGGTGCAGATGGTGACAATAATACTGCAATGTCCAGATATCAATGTTATTATAATAAGGTAAGTTTTTTGCTGCCACCTAAGAATTTATTACATTAATAAATAGTATATAAATGAGATTGAGAAGTGGCAAAATATATCCCATTTTCAAATTAAGTGGGATTTTCTTCAAATCTATGGGAAAATTATTCAAAATAAAAAAACGCATAAAATTCTATTAAAATGCATGAAATATTTATTTGAATTAATAGTATGGTCCATATCTCAATAAGAAATATTGCTCAACTCCAAGGAAGCTAGGAAAATGCTACTCTGTACTGGAGTCTTATTATATCAAATAGACTGCAACATTAAGATTTTTCATAAAATAATAATTCTAGGGAAAACCACAAAACTTGAATGGAAAATTGGGGGTTTTCCACTAAATTGAATCCATGATAGTAAAAAGAGGTTTTTTTTACCCAAATTGTATTTTTGTATTATCTCTAAATTTTGAAATAATTTCAAATTATTTTCATTTCCATTCAAAACCATACACACACATGTTCAAACTGTGTACATGTTATGACAGAATAGGGACACCAAAAGAAACAAGTAAAAAAATCAGTAACTTTGTCCGGCCCGTACTTTGAATACCCTCCACCATTTGGAAGGAATTTGGAATTTAGAAATTTTCAAAAAATAAAATCCGTTAAAAATTCTGTTAAAATCTTTAAAATACCTAATATAGCCGTTATATTGGGGTCTATACGAAGAGGTGGACTTGCATAGCCAACTTTGTCATAAACCATTACAAATACGTAACTTGAAAAAAATTTAGCTTAAATCATCAGAATACCGAAGATTGGGAGGTACCGTTATATGGAAGCCATACGAAGACGTAGGTCTGCATACGCAATTTTTTGTTATAGGTTGTAGTGCCCATTACGAATTCTGAATACTTGTTTGGTATTCAGAATTCGGTGAATAATGTCCCTAAAATCGTCAAAATATCGAATAACGTGGGGGTAAAAGTGCTTAGAAAGAACTGCTAGTATGTGGACCTATATAGATAATACTCTTCCAGGGAGTAAAGTACCCAGAAGGAACTCCTGTGTGGATTTTCAGGCAATTTCATTGAAAATTTTGATTACAGTGATTAAAATACCGAATATCGGGGGGGCCGTTATATAGGGAATATACGATATCGTTAACCGATATAGCCCCTCTACTTTGACCTGCCTGAAGACAAAAGACTGATCTGTGGAATTTTTTTGCTTTATTTGTTTTGACTCTAGCGTGATAACAACAGATAGACAGACGGACAAACGGACAGGGCTAAATCGTCTTAGAATTTTACGCTTTACATATAACGTCCATATAACGGTACCACCCGATATTCCGTATTTTAATGATTTTCGCCACATTTTTCACGACTTTGTTTAAAAATGGGTGTTTGTAGATCATAATGGGTTCTCTCTCCGGTCCCGAAACATTGTATGTATAGGTCCACGTTTTCGTATAGCCCCCATATAACGTTACCACCTGATATTCGGTATTTTTATGACTTTTGTCACATTTTTCCATGGATTTGTAAAAAATTGGTATTTATAGTTCGTAATGGGTTCCAGCTCCGGTGGCAGAGCATTGAAAATTTAGGTGTACCTAAAATCATCAAAATACGTAATATAGAGAGGTACCGATATTTAGAGGCTATGCGAAAACCAGAACCTGCACATACAATTATCTGTCACATGCTGTAGTATCGGTTACAAACTGCAAATACGAAATTTGAAACAATTCCGGTTAATAATATGGCTAATAAATAATATGGCTAATAATAATAAAATAAATAAATTAAAATACTGAATACGGGGAGGTACCGTTATATGGGGCCTATACGAAGACGTAGACCTGTTTGTGCAATTTTCTGTCATAGATACCCATTAGGAACTATAAATGGCAAATTTGAAAGATTTCCGGTGAAATGTGTCACAGAAATCATCCAAATACCGAATATTTCTAGTTATATGAGGACTATATCAAAACTTAGACCTGCATTGAAACTTCTATGTAAAAATGTTTCATACATAATGGGAACATATTCTGCCAATTTACAACAAATTTGGGTTAAAATTGGGACCAAAGCAGCCAAAAAGCCTTATGTCTGTCAGAACAGTTGTATGAGGGCCAAACCAAACTTGGACCCATATAGCCCATTTTAAATAACAAAAGTCCTGCAGAACAAACACACATCTGAGAAAAAATGTTTCAAACTACTTCATTTCGTTCGGAAGCTAAAGTGATTTCCACAGAAGGACAGACGGACGGACATGGCAAAATCGACATAGTATTTTATGCTGATCAAGAATATTTCTATTTTGAATCAAAAATTATAATGACAAACTTAATATATCCTCCATACTGTGAACAAATTTTGACATTTCACCTGGTTTTTAAAATATGTAGGAACACCTTGTCATTGTGCCGTGTACTCGACCGCGTCATTTTTCAAATCAAATTTATTTTCATATCTGAAATATTTATGTGTGACGAGTGGCATATGTTACAAAAATTATAAATTATTTTAGGCGTTCTAAGGCACATAAAAAAGTTATATGTTAACATCTCAGGAAGGCAAATTTAATCTATCTTGTCTTAGGCGACTTACAAAAATAGAGATTTTAAACCCTTCATCTTCAGTTCTTGTGTAGTTGACGAATAACGTTTTATTTTAAGCCAGTTTAACAGGCTGGAAAATGTTGGTAAATTAAATTAAGGCCAAATTGGGGATGACGATTTTTTAGTGTAATTTATAAAGGGCGGTTACATAAAGTAGTTAAGACTATTCCAGTAATTGAATAATGTCTTACAAATGTAATTAATACCTTTTCAGGATCCTAATGTGGAGTTTGTAACGGCTAGATATGATTTGAAAAAAGTTTACAATGAACTTATGATATCCCTCATTTTACCAATTGTGCTGTTCGTCATTTCATCGATATCACTCATTGTCATAACGAAATTAGTGAAGGTATGAATGATAATTACGATTTCTACGTTTGCGGATATCCATTGTATGTTTGATTATTTTCCAGGTTGGAGATGATGCCAAAATGCGTTGTATTTGTGCTGCAGACAACGATGACACTGATGAAATATATTCGGCCCGTAAAAGTGTAAGGGCTAGACAGAAGGAAACCAATGAAGCTAATGAAAATCTAAATCAGTTATCTAATTTAGAGGTAAGAACTGTAATTAATTGCGTATTATTTCTTGCGATTTTTATACCCTACAACACTATGTGTTGGGGGTATTATAAGTTTGATTGGGCCAGAATTTATGTAACACCTCGAAATATTGGTTTCCCATATAGGAAAGTATATATAGATCTTCCTAGCTCGCCGAGCTGAGTCGATCTAGCTATGTATGTCCGTCCGTCCGTCCGTCCGTCTGTCCGTCTGTCCATGTTAATTTGTAATCACTCTACAGGTCGCAATTATGGTCCGATCTTCACGAAATTTAAAATGGAGGTGGGGTTAGGGTCAGAATAGAAGCCTATTTCTTTTGGAGATGATCGCCAAATGTTTAGGGGTTGAAATGGACCAAATATTGAAAAAATATCGGATTTTGCAGTAGCTATACAGGTCGCAATTATAGACCAATCGACGCGGAATTTCGTATGTAGCTAGAGTTTAGGGCGTGGAAGAAGCCTACCAATTAGGGTGGTCATCGGATAATATTTAGCGGGTAAAATAGACCATATCTTTTGTGTTGAAAAAATTCAACATTTTTCATTAAACCGCGAATATTTTAAATCCCGGCGAAATCAAGAAGCCATGACAAGGTTACTTCTGACCTTTACATTGATGTTAACATCCAACAAATCGTGTCTATCAAAGAAGATATGCTTGAAAGATCTGAACGGCTGAACTGATTTCGACAGTTCTCATTAATTCAGAATGGCCTCTTGGCAGGAAAGAAAAAACGTCTAAAAATCGCATAAAAATATCTCTCTTAAGATGAAAATATTGATTTTGTAATATTTTCTCATATTTGCTCAATTTTGTCATATTTTTGGCATATTTTCATTTTGAATTAAACATTTGGTAATATTTCTACAGCTAACAAAACTAAGTAGTTAGGATATCAGGATATCATATACAGATGGCATTTATGGCCCGATCCTTACGAAAGTTTGCATGGGGATAAGATGAGGGTCAGAATAGAAGCCTACTCTTTTTGCAGGTTCTTCTTGCAGGTTCTGAAACAGAGTTTCAGTATTGCTCTCTTCTAAAACTTGCAAGAATTTACTAAATTTGTAATATATCGATAACATAAAAGGAACATTAATTATCGTAGTAAAAATTTTTACATTCTTGCAGTTCTGAAACGGGAGCTATATCTAAATCTGATCCCATTATTACCAATGTCAATAGGGTTCGTCCTTGGGCCAAACAAATATTATTTCCTAAATTTCATCTCAATCAGATAACATATGCGACCTGCATTTTGTTCAGAAGAATACATGGACGGCCGGACGGACAGACTGACATTCATAAATTGACTGATTCTAGGAATATCCTCAGAAGTAACTATGGGCCTATCTCGCTTCCTTCTCCCTGTTACAAACAAATGCAAAAAGACATAATAATCTTACCACAATGTGGTGTAGGGTATAAAACATGTGGTACTATGTTTCATTTTCTATACCTGTTTACAGGCAAAGTAAGCTCTACCCTCCATCATTCGGAAGGAAAATTCCAAAAAAATCCATTGAAAATATATTCCATCGTTATATAAGGGATATACGGTATTTTAGACCTATATAGACTATTCTTTTCCTGGGGATAATGTACTCACAAGGAACTCCTTTTGTGAATTTAAGACAATGATTTAAGACAATGCAATGAAAAATGTGGCTAAAATCGTCAAAACACCGAATGTCAGAAGGTACCGTTATATGGGAGCTAACGATATCGTGAACCTATATAGACAATTCTCTTCCAGGCACCAAAGTACTCAGAATCAACTTCTTGTTTGTATTTTCAGACAATTCCATTGAAAAATGTGACTAAAATAATAAAAATACGGAATATAAACTTGACCTGTCTGAAGGCAAGAGGCAGATCATTGCAAAATTTTAGTTAATCAAATATATATATATATATATATATATATATATATATATATATATATATATATATATATATATATATATATATATATATATATATATATATATATATATATATATATATATATATACATATATATATATATATATATATATATATATATATATATATATATATATATATATATATATATATATATATATATATATACTTTGTTGGGTTTAAAATTATTATTTCGATGAGTTACAAACGGAATGACGAACTTTATATACCCTCCATACTATGTATGGGGGAGGGTATAAAAAAATATAAAATGAAAACTATTCCTTTATAAAATTTCAAAGTAACGAAACCTCTATTGTTGTTTCACTCTGTTTTGATAAAACATGAGTTGTCGACGAGAAGAGACAAATATCAGAATTCCCCTATGTGTGTGAACTTTTTTAAGTAGTAATAGTAAAATAATCCCTAAACACTGTCATTTTATTTTAAAATAAATAATTGTTTCTTTTAGGATATGGATATTAGCCCCAGCGATACACAGGGTATGATCGGTAGCACAAAGTATTTATTACCACAGAATGCAACCAATGAGTCGGCCAATACGGACCACAGCAATGATGATGAAAAAGCCTTAACATGCGATGTTCCCGAAAAACCTCTAGTTGTAATTTAAAATGAGAAACGAACCCACCAAAAACAAAATATATAACCGAATATTACCAACTGCATTAATCTACGAAATGTTTAAAATTACTTTATATGTATGTGTTTGAATGTGTATACTCGACCTGGAACAAACCGGATAGTAAGAAAACACCATCATTTCCTACCTCTCATCATCACCAAAAGCAACAGAATTAAATGTTCTATTTACAATTGTCATAGAATTGCATAAATGTTGTATAGAATCAAATCACAGTCGTACCTTGATAGTATATGAATGTTCTATTTCGTCCAGGAACAATGCAAAATTTACGATATACCTATTAACACTTTGAACTTAATGACAATTATTTGTTTATGAATATATACATACAATTTTACAAATCGTACGCATTACATCTTACACTTTTTTTTCTAAAATTTCACTGAACTCATTATGGAAAAATAAAAAAAAAAACAAAAACAAAAAAAAATATAACTGCCTTCAATGTTAACTACAGCGTAATCGAGAAAAAACTAACAAACATACTGTCTTAACGCAATAAAGAAACAAACGAATAACATCAAATTTATTAAAATACAAAACTTATTATGTGATTTTCAAAACTAAAACTAAAATAAATATTTCTATAAAAACAAAAGTTTACTGAATATTTATTTTGTAAAATTCCGTATAAAAGCCGGGTCGAAGTTCGAAAACCCTCCACCATTTGGAACGAATTTGGCAAATTTAAAAAAAAAAATCTGTTAAAATCTTAAAAATATCGTATGTAGCCGTATGTAAACGACGACGTGGACGTACGAAGGCAACTTTTTCATAAGCCAATGCAATATTTTTATGCGAAACTTGAACAAAAATTCGGTGAATAATGTAGCTAAAACCATCAAAATATATGGGGGCTATACGAAGACGTGGACCTGCACAGACAATTTTCTGTCATAGGCTGTATTATCCATTACGAACTTCAAATACCAAATTTGAAACGAATCTGATGAATAATGTCGCTAAAAGCATCAATATACCGAATATCGGGAGGCACCATTATATGGGAGCTATACGAAAACGTGGGCCTACATGGCCCATTTTCAATACCAAAAGTCCTACAGACATAATATACATTGGAGTAAAATTTTATCGATCCACTTAATTTCGTTCGGAAACTAGAGTGATTTCTGCAGATGGATAGACGGACGGACATCGCTAAATCGACATAGAATTTTATGCTGATTTATGCTGATCAAGAATATACATACTTTGTGGGATCCAAAATGTATGTTTCGAGGTGTTACAAACGAAATGACAAACTTAATATACCCTCCATACTATGGTGAACGGTATAAAAATAATTTTGAATATTTTAAATTTTTGTTGAAATTTATGTTCACATTTACAGCATTTAGCGAGAATACATTTTTATACCCTTTACCTCTCCTTAAATATTCATCGTAAACCCAATTAAGTATATATAGCATTTTCAGATTAAATGAAACCTTTTGCAATTCAAATGAAACTTTTTGCAGCGGAAATGAATCCTTTTGCAGTGGAATTGAAACCTTTTGCAGTGGAAATGAAACCTTTTGCAGTGGAAATGAAACCGTCTGTCTGTTGAAATCACGATACAGCCCACATTTTTTGACGAATTTTTTGACAAAATTTAGCAGAAGAATTTGTATTATGACTAGGTTGGTTTGTGTTGAAAATGAGATGTATCGGTCCACGTTTTGGTATAGTCCCCATATAAGTACCATTATACCGTTATTCGACATTCGGTATTTTGGTGCTTTTTGCCACATTTTTCCACGGATTTGTCTTAAAATTGGTATTTGTAAGTCATAATGGGTTCTAGCTTGTGTGGCGAAACATTGTATGTGTAACGGTACCTCCCGATATTCGGTATTTTGTTGATTTGCCATATTTTTTTACGTATTTGTCTAAAAATTGGTATCTGTGGCTCATAATGGGTTCTAGCTCCGGTGGCGAAACATTGTATGTATAGGTCCACGTTTTTGTATAGCCCCATATAACGGTACCTCCCGATATCCGGTATCTTGATTTTTTGGTATTTGTAGGTCATACAGGGTTTTAGCTCCGGTGGCAGATCCACATTATCCTATAGCGTACATATTATGGTAATCATTGATATTCGGTATGTTGATAATCCTAGTCACATTTACCCACCAAATTATTTCAAATGTGGTATTTAAGAAGATTTGGTAGATGACAATCCTTGAAGTATAAAATTGCCTATATAGGTCCCCGTTTTGGTATGGCCACCATATAACGGCCTCACCCACTTTATGTTTTTATACCCTACACCACATAGTGGTAAGGGTATTATGTCTTTGTGCATTTGTTTGTAACATGGAGAAGGAAACGAGATAGACCCATAGTTACTTTTGAGAACCTTCATAGAATCACTTTCTGAGTCGATTTATGCATGTCAGTCCGTCTGTCCGTCCGTCCGTCCGTCCGTCTGTCCATGTATTCTTGTGAACAAAATGCAGGTCGCATTTATTATCCGATTGAGATGAAATTTTCCAAACAATATTTTTTTGGCCCAAGGACGAACCCTATTGAAATTGGTGAGAATCGGATCAAATTTAGATATAGCTCCCATATATATCTTCATCCGATTTCGGGTTAAATGTGCACCAAATGTCCACTATCAGTCCAAATCACCTGAATTTTGGCACACCCAACCGAGTTCGGCCTAGAAGCAAGTATATCAAATTTGGAGAAAATCGGTTCAGATATAGCTATAGCTCCCATATATATCTTTCATCCGATTTCGGGTTAAATGTGCACCAAATGTCCACTATCAGTCCAAATCACCTGAATTTTTGCACACCCAACCGAGTTCGGCCTAGAAGCAAGTATATCAAATTTGGAGAAAATCGGTTCAGATATGGCTATAGCTCCCATATATATCTTTCATCCGATTTTATCTTTAAGCCCCTCACATTCTTACTATGCACTCCACAACCGTGATATTTGGTACCAGGTATTAGATGGAGCACAGAAATAGCTGTTTTAAATTTTATCGAAATCGGTTCAGATTTGGATATAGCTCCCATATATATCTTTCATCCGATTTCGGGTTAAATGTGCACCAAATGTCCACTATCAGTCCAAATCACCTGAATTTTTGCACACCCAACCGAGTTCGGCCTAGAAGCAAGTATATCAAATTTGGAGAAAATCGGTTCAGATATGGCTATAGCTCCCATATATATCTTTCATCCGATTTGATCTTTAAGCCCCTCACATTCTTACTATGCACTCCACAACCGTGATATTTGGTACCAGGTATTAGATGGAGCACAGAAATAGCTGTTTTAAATTTTATCGAAATCGGTTCAGATTTGGATATAGCTCCCATATATATCTTTCATCCGATTTCGGGTTAAATGTGCACCAAATGTCCACTATCAGTCCAAATCACCTGAATTTTTGCACACCCAACCGAGTTCGGCCTAGAAGCAAGTATATCAAATTTGGAGAAAATCGGTTCAGATATGGCTATAGCTCCCATATATATCTTTCATCCGATTTGATCTTTAAGTCCCTCACATTTCTACTATGCACTCCACAATCGTGATATTTGGTACCAGGTATTAGATGGAGCACAGAAATAGCTGTTTTAAATTTTATCGAAATCGGTTCAGATTTGGATATAGCTCCCATATATATCTTCATCCGATTTCGGGTTAATTGTTCACCAAATGGCCAATATCAGCCCAAATGGCCCGAATTTTGGCACATGTGACCGAGATTAGCCTTAAAGAAAATACAACAAATTTGGAGAAAATCGGTTCAGAAACAGCTATAGCTCCCATATATATGTTTTTTTCCGATTTGGTGTTTAAGCCTCTCACATTCGTAATATGCACTCCACAAGAATGATATTTGGTACCAGATATAAGATACAGCCCAAAAATAGCTGTTTGTAATTTTATCGAAATCGGTTCAGATTTGGATATAGCTCCCATATATATCTTCATCCGATTTCGGGTTAATTGTGCACCAAATGGCCGATATAAGTCCAAATGGACTGAATTTTAGTACATCGGACCAAATTCAGCCTAGAAGCAAGTATATTAAATTTAGTGAAAATCGGTTCAGATATAGATATAGCAACCATATATATGTTTCATCCGATTTAGTGTTTTAGTCCCATACATTCGTGATATTCACTCCACTACCGTGATATTTGGTACCAGGTATTAGATGGAGCACAGGAATAGCTGTTTTAAATTTTATCGAAATCGGTTTAGATTTGGATATAGCTCTCATATATTTCTTCATCCGATTTCGGGTTAAATGTGCACTAAATGGTCAATATCAGCCCAAATCACCTGAATTTTCGTACATAAGACCGAATTCAGTCTAGAAGCTAATACGTAAAATTTGGAGAAACCCGGTTCAGAGATAGCTATAGTTCGTAAAATGCACGATAGAATTGGATAGATTTTGTTTTTGTACCAAATTTCTAATAGAGCTCTGAAATGCCCTGTATAAACCTTTTTACGAGAGCTCTACTAAATATGCATAGTGGTGTAGGGTATCATATAGTCGGCCCCGCCCGACTTTTGAGCTTTCCTTACTGGTTTTTTTTGGAAAGATTTACAGCATTATCTACACGGTCTTACTGTAGTTTAAAGTGAAAAACGTTTGAATTCAGATACTTTTATAAAAATTCTTTTCTTTACCGAAAGGTGGAGGGTATTAAAAGTTCAGCCTGTTTTTTTACTTATTGCGTTTTGCGATGAAAAATAATTGCAGATCGTATTAAAATTTCCATATTGTGAAAATTCCGCGGCGTTCAAACGTTTTCGACCTTTTTGATTGTTAATAAAAACAATTGTTTGAGCTTGTAAAAAAATGTCAAATAAATTAAACAACTTTGTGATTAATAAATAGGAAGTTACAAGACTCTAGCTTGTCTCTAGCTTTTCTATGAAAATAAATAAATTGGTCATTTCTTAGTTCAAGTGCAATCAGTTTATTATCAACATTCAAAGAAGTATACAATGTTTCAATTAAAGCATTTCGTAAGAATTTTAGTATTGTCATCGACAACAGTGAACATATGTAAGTTTTAATTGCTTTGACAAAGTTATATTTCCATTTGTAGTTTATTCAAATAGTCCTTTTAAATATATTTCTCCCCTTTAGTAGCTATGACTGCATCAAAGCATATTTGCACGGGAAAATATCATATACCCTTTGATGAGAGTAATTTGAACATTTTACAAAGGAACATAAGTTATATGGCATCTACGGCTGAATTTAGAAATCCCATTGGAGGTACTATGAAAAATACTGGTCACACAATTCGAATGGAATTATTTTATCCGTCCAATGCTGTGCCCGCGTTCAAGGGTGGACCGTTAGGTAATGAATCTTATCGAATCGGTTTCATGTATTTTCATTGGTTCAACACTAGTGGAGCGCACCACAAGTATCAATTGGAGCCCCTGGAGCTCCATATGGTGTTCATAAATACAAGATTTATGAATTATGAGGTGGCTTCGAAGAAGGATTTCGGACTACTTATATTTGCATGGAAACATTCCGTGAGTATTGAAACGGGAATTTGAAGTGTAAAAGATGAAACAGAATGAGAATTAGTTGATTATTTTTTCTGCTTTGCTTCAAAGCGAAAAAGTTAAGTTGTACTAAATTTGATGAAAATTGGTTCAAACCTAGCTATAGCTCCCACGCATATGATTTATCCGATTTGTGGTTTTAAGGGCCTCACTTGCGTAATATGCACTCCACAAGAATGATATTTGGTACCGTATAACTTATAGAGCTCCACAACACCTCTGTAAAATCTTATCGATATCTGATCAGATTTGGATATAGCTCCCATATATATCTTTATCAGATATCAGGCTTATTGTGCACTAAATGGCTAATATCAGCCCAAATTGGGAATTCTGACTGAATTCATCCTAGAAATAAGTACTTCAAATTTTGGTGAAAATCGGTTCAGATATATTTATAGGTCCCATATATATGTTTCATCCGATTTGATTTTAAGTCCCTCACAAGCGTAATATACAGTCCACAACAATGATCTGAGGTAGCAGATATCAGATACAGTGTCTCAAAATTTGTCAAGATCGGTTCAGATTTGAATATAGCTCCCATATCCGATTTCAGGTTAATTGTGCACCAAATGGACTGCATTTTGGCACTTCTGACGGAAGTACTTCAAAAGTTGGTGAAAGCCGGCTCAGATATATCTATAGGTCCCATATATATGTTTCATCCGATTTGGTGTTAAAGTCTCACAACGATGATATTTGATACCGGACATCATTATCGAGTTCAGACTCAGATGTTTATATACGATTATACAGGGTGAGATGAAAAAAACTGCAACAAAGTCAAACGTCATATTTTTTATTTATTTTTTTTTTTAATTTTATTGAATGAAAGCAAAAAATTTCGGAAATAGCATCAAATTTTAAAAATAAGTTTAGATTTATTCGAATTGGTCACCATTGGCACGAATTATGGCCTTCTAACGGCCAATGAAACCGTCACACGCTGCCCGAATGTTGCTCTGCGGAATTTTGGCCCATTCCCGGCGAAGCGCTTGCTTGTGGTGATCGACACTTTGGTATTTTTTAGTGCCAACCTTGCTTTCCAAAATACTCCAGACACAATAGTCCAACGGATTGGTATCCGTAGATTTTGGTGGCCATTGTGCGCTGGAAATGAAGCGACGAACCTCATTTTGTAACCATTCTTAGGGGCGCGTGCTGAGTGCGATGGTGCCTAGTCCTGTTAAAATGTCCAAGGTCTGCGGCCAAAATGTTTGCGTTCCCAAGGCTTTAATACACCCTCCAGAATATTTTCGAGATAATATTCGGCATTTATTCTCATTTATACGAACGGAGAGCGACCATCGGCTGTTATGGCGGTCCACACCATCATCATGGCCATCATGCACATTTTCAGCTGACCTCTTTGGCAAGTAAACACGATCATTTTGTTTGTTTACAAACTGCTAGACAGCGAATGTTTTCTCATCGGAGAAAACCAAATTCGTCAGTTTACCACTTTCGGCCAATCGAGGCAACTCTTTAGCTCTTTTGAGTCTATTTCCTTTCTATTTCGGTTCAAGTTCTTGTACTTTTTGGAATTTCAATGGCTTTACCCCGATCTCATTTTTCAATATTTGCGAATGGAATAATGCGATATGTTCAGCTCTCGAGCCATTTTTCGGCCACTGCGACGTGGGTTTCGATCAAGTCGCATCTTTACTTTTCGAACCATTTCTGCTGATGTTGCTGTTTTCTTCCGTCCACTTCCTTGGCGTCGGGCTACGTTACCAGTATCACGGTAACGAGCGATGGTACGAAATACAAATGATTTATTCAAATTTTAATGCTGGAGTGCTCTTACGATAGTCACTTGTGGTTTTCCAGCCAAATAAAAAATAACACTATCACGCTTGAATTCCATCACCAATAATTTTTTTCTGGAAAATTCTCACCAAAATGCTTTTGTACGCTTGTAAACAATATAATGAGCTGTCGCTTGTAAATAATATATTGAGCTGTCCAACAGCTGTCGGACGTGTGGCTTAAAAATGACAGCAATCTGAAGTTGGTTGCAGTTTTTTCATCTCACCCTGTAGTTTCCAAATTGTAATAAGTTGTATTTGTAATAAAGTTTGTTGTAGGTATGATCTACTTCCCATAAATTCAAAATATAAACGGGAGCTACAATACGCATAGTGGTGGAGGGTATCATATAGTCGGTCCGAATGAAAGTCGGCCCGCCCGACTTTTAATCTTTTTTTACTGGTTTCATAATGCATTTTGCCCAGTCTTCATCATTTGAAGTCTATGTGTAAACTCTCTGAGGTTATAAATAGTCAGACTTCTCAAAAAATGTTCTATGTTGATTAAGGAAACACTTTACATTAGAGCATTTTCCCGGGTTAACCTTCTTTATAAGGATTTATTCGACGGAGTTGGCAATTTAGATTACATCATGAAAAATATTCAATAGCTTTTTATTGCAATTTTTCAAAACAGCTAACCATTGGAGTCTATGCGAACAGATACTACGACTCCATCATCAAAGTTAAGTATCCAAATGACGTTCTTAAATTGAATGCTACTCAAGCGGCTTCTTTTTATGAAATGATATTATTTCCCGACATCTATAATGTATACGTGGGGAAATCAACCTTTCCTGACTACGATAAGTGTAGCGGCAGTGTTATTTGGATAGAGGTTATGTAATTACCCTCTATAGACTCACTGGGGACCAGGTACGTATATTTTGGATTTCATTTAAATTGTTTAAAATATTTTTTATATATCATTAAAGTTTATATATTTTCATGAGCTCATGTCGTTCGACAACGTTCCACTGATGAGTAATATTGTTACAAACACTCCACTCAATACCACGATATATAAATCGATTGATCTCTTTGATCAAAATCAGAAATATGTGAAACCATTTCAAGGATTTGGAATGAAATTCGAATCTGCTGGAAGTTCGTTGAAAATTGTCGTCTTATTTGAAATAATAACCAGTTGGATAATTGTATATTTTTTTGTACTTTGAATATTCAAATAAAAATACTGTAAATACCAAAACATTTGTTTATAATTTGAGTCGGAGGAGAATTGGCATGGACATAGTTAAGGCATACTTAAGTATTCCATAAATGTTTGGTCGTTTCTCCGATATATATATATTTTAATGTTCGAAATCTCGACGTAAAGTCGTGACGAATTATTGTAAATTTCCAAGAGTTTCTAATTATTTTAATAGTAAATAAAAGAGGTAAAAATTAAGCTTAAGAATTCGAACATTAGTTTTTGATTTAGAAATTAAGAATTAAGAACATACAATATTTTTCAATGGTGTCAAAAATGTGTATAAAAAAACTGAAAAAATGTATATTTTTAAAAGCTCTCTAACCCATTAGGAGCTACAAATACAAATTTTTAGACAAATCCACGGAAAAAATATGGTAAAAATCATCAAAACACCATTATATAGGAGCTGTATATGCCATGGACCTATATATACTATGTTCCGCCACCAGAGCTCGAACCCATTACAAACGGCACATATCAATTTCTAGACAAATCCGTGAAAAATGAGGCAAAGATCATCAAAATACCGAATAACGGCTATACGAAAACGTGGACCTATACCTACTATGTTCCATCACCGGAGCTAGAACCCATACAAACCGCAAATACAAATTTTTAGACAAATCCATGGAAAAATGTGGCAAAAATCATCAAAATACCGAAAATCGGGAGGTACCGTTATATGGTGGCTATACCAAAACGTGGACCAATATATTTTCAATATTAACCATCATAGATACAATACAAATTGTTCTGCCAAATTTTGAAGCTCTTCGTGATTTCAACTGGAAGGCATCGTTAAATCGACTTAGAATTTTATTCTGATCATGAATATATATACGTTATGAGGTCTACGACAAATATTTAGGGATGTTACAAACGGAATGACAAAGTTAATATCCCCCCTTTCAAGGTGGAGGGTAGAAAAATACAATTAAAGGACAATTTACAGTGGATCATAAATATGGGCTCGCAATTGTATTCCATTGAGGTTACCAATTAATTGTAGATTGACTTAGCGATTAAAATTACTTAACACTATGTTGTTACCATATCATATTGCAGAGGTGTCAAAATGTTGTCAACTAAACCAACAAAATTTCCTTATCAAAACGTCAATGTCAAGGAGTTGAGGAATAGCTTATCATCAATTCTTAGACCTATAAATGTTATCATATTCGGTCCAGCCGTTCGGAGAAGTATTTGGGTCAAAAGAATTTTATAACTTATTTATATTCTTCATTTCAATTTAAACGTTATCGTGTTTTATTAGAAATCTACAAAATGTACATTTAATATTTTCATTTGGTGGAAACAACTCCATTAATTCAACATCTTTATCTGTAACCAAGGCAAAACAATGTGGACAATAATTCGTCCGTAACATGGGCAACTGAAAAGAAAATTGAAAAAAAAACAGGTTAAATTAAGTTTTCATTATGAAAATCTACCATTAATACATATGTGCTACATACTATTGGATAAAATTAAGTATTACATTAAATAAAATGTTTTATTGAACAGTGTTGGCATGTTTGTTCGAGATACCATAGTATTTCGTTGTTGCAAAATGGTCAGGCTTAATCGCATTATTGTTGTTTTTTATAAAAACAACTTTTATTTATTAGTGGAGAACGATGGTAATGTTTACCAGTTGGTAAGGCAAGGAATATCTAGGTTTCGGAAAGAGCCACCAATACTCGATAGCAGAAGGAGTTGCAGCAGGGATGCCCATGTCCATTGATGTAATATTACAAGAATAAGCTTATAAATTAGGAATCAGTAGTGGAATGCACCAATTCATTTTTTTGAGTTACCGACAAGAGTCAATAAAATTGAAATGCTTATATTTCGGTAATTAACGAAATTTGTCGGTAAGTCAGCGACGAAATCAAAGTAGTCGCTACCGAGAGATATAATTGTTCTTTTCTATATCAACATTTTGGGTTTCAAAGTTACTGATTGTTGTTTGTTACACAAACATTTTTAAATACATTCTCAAAAAAATTTCAAGTTTAATGCTAGTTATTTTAATCTATTTTATAATATTATTCTCAAGCTATTTTGGTATATTGTGTGGGACTCTTATCGAATAGGTAGTGTCGTCGGTATTTTTACAACAAGGAACTGAATTCTTACAGTATAAGTAGGGCTCGCTGAATTCTGAACAACAAATGTCAGAAATTTCTGGAAAGATAAAGAAATGTGTAATTTTTCTGATGCTACGCTTTTTTCGTTACGATCTTCTTCAGAAGATAAGGTATATTTCTAATGAAATACGGCTTCAAGTCAACATTTTTTCTTGCGTTTTTTAAAGATTTGTTTTTTGTTTTGTTTTTAAGTTTTGGTTTTAGAAATTATTGCTATTTGCGACAACACTACCTGAAATGTAAAATTTTTGAAACATTCTTTCATGTTTTCTTTTTTGAATAGAATAGACCTTGCCTTGATTTATATAACCACATGTTCATGCTTTGTCGTGGAAAACAGCGAAGTCGTACGTCGGAGAAAGGGAAGGCCTGTTATGATAAATCTTTAGAATTTGCCAAATAAATTAATAAACATTTTAAGATTTCCATCGATGCTTATTGGGAATATAGTTTGTAGGAACGCCACTTACCTGAATAAATGAAATGGTGCATCTTTTTATGTCGTGCCCCTCGCGGCATTTGTCAAAAGTGGTTACACTAATCTCAGCGTCACACATTTCACACCGTTCTGGTTTGTATGTGAATCTATCGACTCCGAAGCGAAATTTTTCATATTCGGCACTGAGGACTTTTGCAGAACTTTCCCTTGTATTTTTTAAATTGTTTTCTTCATCTTCATTGTTCATTATGGCATTTAATAAACGACAGAATTGCGATTGCATGCAGGCCACGGACAACTCTTGAAATGAAGACAGTTTAACGTCAGGCTTTTGGACGGCCTGTAAATGTTGCAATCTTAGAATAATATAAATCATCTGAACAATCGACTCTAAGAAATGCAATTCCAATTGAGTATTTTGTTTAATATTTTTGTATTTAACCCTGTTGAAATTAATTTGAAATATAGTTGAATTAATTAAAAATATTTAAACAAACTGCATGACTTACATCTGATATTTCGCCATATTTCTTACAATTAGTAGCTTAATTTGTACCTTCTGAAGGTAGGCGTCATTGACATTTTTCGGAATGTTTATACGGCTGACATTCATAAATTCCTGATATGCATCCGCATTTAAACTATTGATTATGTCCAAATTTATTGACATTACCAAATCTTGAGCGTTGTCCATAGCATTTATGTTAAGATTTATAAGTTTGATTAGGCTATCCTGATTGTTTATTTTACAAACGCATGTAAATGCCGTGTTTGAAGAATTTTTTGATTGATGCGTATAGTCCTTGTTGCGCGATAGAAAAAATGTCCATAAACTACGCCATTTCGAGGCAGCAACTCCTAGGATTTGTAGATTTGTTGTATCGATATTATGCTCGACATTTTTGGTTTCTAGAACGAGTTCTTCATTAGAAGGACAAGAAATGTGAACATAGGTAATTATGCCAAGTATTGAAGTAACTAAATATTCCTCCGCAGAAATATTTTCCAAACCTGAAAAATAAAAATAGATTTTTTATGATGAATATCATCGATCGTATATGGGCTTCTATCTTTAAGATTACATCCATGAGAGTACATTTTCGCACTTACCAGTTATTTTTATACCTTTGGTGTACAGAGTGGAATTTGATAATAAATTGCCCTCGTTATCGAGACGATATGCCAAAATATGCGCTCCCTTGGAACATACAATAAAGTAAGATTCCCACTGTTGGCTATAACCAATTACAGCTTTACGGCAACTCATACGATCCTTTTTACTCCATAGATATTGTTTTTCCGTTAAGGTCATTTCCAACGGGTCAATTGTCAACGAAGCAATTTGTCCCAGATTACATGTCACAATGAGAAGGTTGTCTCTTGTTGCCATGTATGTAATTCTCTCTAAAGATGTCTTACAACGGAATAATTCCACAAATTCTCGATCCTCCAAGGAGAACTTTAAGGCAACAACATAACCAGCAGCTGTGGCAACATATATCATGTGCATATCTCCAACATAAGACCATACAAAGGCCGTAATTGTATATGTATCAACAAGTTTTTTAAAAGTTGTAAAATTTTTTATCTTTTTCGACGATTTGTCTGACGGGAATACATTGGTCATCAAAGTTCTATTGAGATTTGTCTTTAATATTTTCCACTCGTGTGTCAAAACATCTTTCTGCAGTACATCACATGCTCCATAAGAGTTAAGCACACAGCAAAAAAGTGAATTTCGATTGTCTCTTACTAAATCAGCTTGTAGCAGCCTTGCTTTAGCTGGTTCTACAGAACATTCATATACATACAAAGGATCAAGGGATAGCTCTTGACTTTCCATGACGTTGGCCGTTTCGTATATTCTTACCAAATCAATAGGACTAATGAAATTGACAAGTGGTTTATCTTGCGAGACTAGTACATTTTTAATGTTAAATGGCAAGGGTATTAACATTTCCACTGAATACATCATTTCCAATATATGGAATTCATGTGAATTTCCTCCCAATATAATATCATTGTCCACAGATGCCAAACAGAAGTCATGTGCTGTATCCACTTTGAATTCACTAATGGCCAGTTGGGTTATTTTCAAACCCTTGTCCGTAACGTCTGACATTTCTAAATAAAATACAACTCTGCTTGCGACGAGTATTGGTTGTTGGTTATTTGTTATTGTTCCACAAAGTAATCACCTTTTTGCGTGCTATGTACAAAGAAGAGAATCAAAACAAAACACAAAAAACTATATGTAAATCATGATTTTACCACACATATTAAATGGTTTGTTTGCTTCCGTCGTGTCATTTCAAATGCCAATCGTTCTGAATACTTGCTGATAAGCTTTACCTGTTGCGATTATGATGTAATTTTAGTTTTATTCTTGCTTCAATAGTGTGGAAATCGCTGGCCGAAAATGTCTGCGAAACGTGGAGTAGATTTTTTAAAAACTGTTGCCGACTATATGGCCAAAACAAGTGGACATGATGCAATTACGAATGTGGTATGTATTTTAACTTATATGACAAACAGTTAAGCTATCTTTAAAACATAATTTTGTTTTTAATTAAAAAAAGAATTTGTCCCGTGCACAATAATGTGACAACACGAAAAAGTCAAAGATGAACTATAATGTTTTCTACATGTAAAGGGTTGCCATATCCATGAAGTTTCTACCAAACAGTGGAAAATACATTTTTGGCTAAGTAATGAATGAAGTTTAGAATACATAAAACGCATTTTTCACTGGCTTCTTCGTAAAAGAAGGAATGTGAACCGACCTCGATAAAATTTGGCAGAGGTATTTTCGAGCTGATCTAATATCATTGTGTGGAGTGCATATTACGCGTGTGAGGGACTTAAAACCCCAAATCGGATGAACGTATATATGGGAGCTATGACCATATTTGAACAGATATTCACCAAATTTAAAACACTTCTAGACTAAATTCGGTGGGATGTGCCAAAATTCGGGTCATTTGGACTGATATTGGCATTTGGTGCATAATTAACCCGAAATCGGTTGAAGATATATATGGGAGCTATATCTAAATCTGAACCGATTCTCACCAATTGTAATAGGGTTCGTCCTCGGGCCAAACATATATTGTTTGGAAAATTTCATCTCATTGGATAATAAATGCGACAAGAATTTAGTTCACAAAAATACATGAACAGACGGACTGACATGCATAAATCGACTAAGAACATGACAATTTTGTTCTGTTTTATATTAATCAGATCTAACACTAGCTTGTTTACAACAACCAATTTCTCGGTTGTTGTTGTTGAATTATAAATGTAGTAGTTTAGGAAATGTTGGAAAAACTTATAGTGGCTTTATCAAACACTTTTTACCACCGTACTACCCAATACACCAGGACTATATTACCACCCAAATAAATCAATGTAAAAACAAGTAAAAAAGCTGTAAGTTCGGCCGGGCCGAACTTTTAATACCCTCCACCACTTGGTACAAATTTGGCAATTTCCACAAAAAAAAAAAAAAAAATAAATAAATAAATAAAATCCGTTAAAAATTCTGTTAAAATCTTAAAAATACCGAATGCTTATACGACGACGTGGACCTGCATAGGCAACTTTTGTCATAAGTTATTACAATATTTAAATGCGAAACTTGAAGAAAAATCTGTTTATATACACAGACAATTTTCTGGCATGGTCTGAAGTATCCATTACGAACTTCACATGCGAAATTTGAAACAATCCCGGTAAATAGTGTCGCTAAAATTATCAAAATACCGAATATCGGGGGGTACGGTATATGGGGGCTATATGAAGACGTGGACCTATATGGCCCATTTTCTGTTTTATGCTGCAGTATCTATTGCGAACTTCAAATACCAAATTTGGAACGATTTCGCTAGATTATGTCGCTAAAATCAGCAAAATACCGAATATCGGGGGGTACCGTTATATGAGGGCTATATGAAGACGTGGACCTACATGGCTCATTTTTTGACTTAGGATGTAGTATCCATTACGAAATACCAAGTTTGAAAAGATTCCTGTAAACAATGTCGCTAAAATCATCAAAATACCTAATATCGGGGGGTACCGTTATATGGGGGCTACACGAAGACGTGGACCTGCACAGATAATTTTCTGTCTTAGGCTGTAGTATTCATTACGAACTTCAAATGCCAAAATTTGAAACAATTCCGGCGAATAATGTAGCTAAAGTCATCAAAATACTGAATATCGGGAGGTACAGTTATATGAGGGCTATATGATAACTTCGACTTACATGGCCCATTTACGAACTTAACCTGCCTACTGGCAAAATATACATATGTGCAAAATTTTAACATTCTATCTCACTTTGTTCGAAAGATAGCGTGATTACAACAGACAGACGGACATGGCTAAATCGTCTTAGAATTTTACGCTGATCAAGAATATATATACTTTGTTGGGTCTGACATGAGTATTTCGAGGAGTTACAAACGGAATGACAAAATTAATATACCCTCCATAGTATGGTGGAGGGTATAAAAACTTTTTTACTACGATAACCGATTTTCTCTTTATGATATCGAAAAAAATAAGAAGAGCAAATACTTGCAGGCATGGTGCAATAAGGAGGTAGAACAGCTTCGTAAAACTAAAGAAATACAGCCGTGAGGCTATGCCCGCTTTCTGTCAGACTCATTTGTCGTGAATAAAATCTTTCGCACACACAACCATTTTAGTAAAATCCATATAACTTTTTTTTAATGAAACCTATAGTTTTTAGGGAATTGAGCAAACTATGTGCTTTAACTTGTTTTGTTCGAATCTAGAAGAGTAGTATGAAGATTGCTCCAAACAAATTAATTTTGGAGCATTTAGTTACATGTTTTATGATTTTTCCTCAAATTAAGAAATTCATGAAACAATTATGAAATAAACAAAACCAGCTTTTGCAGTTTATATGATACAATGAGATAGCTGTGCTGATTGTGCCATCAACCTTACTAAAACGAAATGAAATGTATATAAAGTGTCTATAAACGATTGAGTCATCTAGAGGCTGAGTTATTGATGCATAAGTGTTACAAAATCCTGGACTTAAATAACGTTTAATATGTATATTATTATAGATAAATTATTACAGCATACAACCACTATTCTTCATACTGATTAATTGTCATTTATTTTTTCAGTTTAAAGTCACCGGAGGCGGAGATGGCCGATGTATTGGCGAATTTACAATTACCAAAGCTCATTTAAATGCCGCTGGTGGCTTGCATGGAGGTTACACGGCCACAATGATTGACAATGTAACAACTTATGCCTTAATGTCTACTGACGCTCATCCTGGTGTCAGTGTCGATCTGAATGTCAGCTATATGAAATCGGCCAAAGAAGGTGAAGAGATTATTGTGGATGCAAACACCCTAAAAGTTGGCAAAAAATTGGCTTTCATCGAGTGTGTATTGAAGAAAAAGTCGGATGGTTCGATTGTGGCCAAGGGTGGACAAACTAAATTCATTGATTTTAACAAAGAATAATAGGTTTTTTTTTTTTTATTTCATGCAATTTGTATTATATGACTTGGGCTCTTGGTATTTAACGTTCTTGGGTATATCAAATAAAATACATGTGGCAACGCCCTAAGAGGCTGAACATATGTTTCCCTTTGTTTTGTTATTTTAGTTCAAGTTCACTACTCTGGCGCTAGGGGTGGATGTGGTAGTTTCGTAACAGTGTGGAAATTAACAAAAGTTTAAATATCGAAGAAAAAAGTAAAATTATTCGGTCAAAGCCATGGGTACACGTAAGAAGGGCGCTGAATTTATTAAACATATAACAGATATAATTAAACAATCTTCTGGATTTGAGAAACATTTGGAAAAGGTATTATGTTCTCTTTTACTTTGTTGCTGACATTTGTTAGTTGTTTGTATAAGTTAACACACAATAAGTTGTTAATCCAATAAAGTATAGTTTCTTTTATTAATAATTATTCCAAAGCAATCAATTCTCATGAATCTGCATTGCAGACGTTTGTCTGCTCCAAATATTTTCCCAACATCAAATTCCGATTAATTTTAATGAACCCAAAAATGCATTTCCGGTAGTTGACTTCGTCAACCCATGCAATGCTTTACGCGTGTAGACGAAATTAATAAGAATTGTTTTTGGTAACAGCAACTAAATTTTAAACAACAGAGTGGCATGATTTCATTGAAAATAATTTTGTTAAATAGGCAAATTAATTTTAAAATTTAATTCTTACTCGAATATTGTAATGTAGTTTTTAAGACACTCTTTGATCTTTGAAAAATCGTGGTTTTAATAATAAAAGCGGCAGTAAGTTCAATTTCGATAATTGCAACTTACAGGATCAAAAGTAGTCCGCGATCCTTTTTGATAAAGTGACGCGTAATAAAAGACAGCGGTAAGTGCAATTTCGATAATTGCAACTTACAGGATAACATTAAATCGCGAGCCCTTTTTGACAAAGTGTCGCGTGAGGATCACGTTGATCCAAATTTTTTTTGATACCTTATCACGTAAGGATCTAACTGGCGCCCGAGCGAATCAGTGTCGCGTAAAGAGTGAAGAAACGGCCCCTTAGTACAAATTGGGAAAAGGACGCGTTGCACGCTAGCCACTTCACCCGCGATAAATAATAAACAAATAAATAAGAACATTTTTTAAAAGGACAACATACATTGATATGTAAAAAAAAACAACAAGTGAAATTTTTAATTCTGTTAAAGACAGACAAAACGTGTTAAAAAAAAAACAAAAGTTTTACTAAAGCTAAAAAAAAGCCGATTCAAAACAAAAATACGTTTTTATTTTAAGGATAACTCGTATAAAGTGTCAAAACACCAAGTGTAATTATTAAGTTGTTAAAGGAAAAACGTATACTAAAAAGTAAAAAAAAAAAAAAAAAAAAAATGAGTGAAGTAATTAACATTTAGTTGGATACGAATCCCATAAAAATCATTTACAAAAAAAATCTAAATTAACTTATTTGTGAACTCAAAAAATCACAATCTGTGAATGACCAAAAACCAAAATACAAAGTGTTTGAAAAAAATGAAAATATTTCCAAAATAAATATACGAAGAGTGTTGAAAAAAAATTGGAAATTGGAAAAAATTGAAATTTGCAAATTGGTGAAAACATCAAAATAAAATTACAAAAATTGGTTGAAAAAAATTAAAAAAAATTTTTTCCAAAATACATTAAAAACTGTTCTATAAAACTAAGAACTTAAAAAGTGCTATTTGTGACCCCACAACACAAACATCCCAATCTAAGAAGAAATCTTGCAGCTACGAAAAGGATCAACAAAGTTTTGAGCCCCACAATAGATGACCAATAACATCGTTACAATAGAAGAACCTACCAACATGACATCTTTAAACCTGCTATTACTATTGTCAGTTATTTTTATATTTATAATAAATTATAAATAGACATAAAATAACCGCATAAAACGTACAATATATTTGTAAACTATATTAAAAAAAAGAAGCACTTTATACTTAAATACAAATACAATTTCAATACCCTTGTTAAAAAGAAACTTAATTCGTTTAAACGTTGTAAAAAATACAAAAGTTAAATTTAAAAATAAATAATTCTTAAATTGCATCTGAATAGAATTATTTTTAAAATAAAATGGCAAATCCTAACAACCTAGTCCGTCCACCAATTCTAAACGCACCTACACCAAATCCTTCCCATCCCCCAAACCAATCTAACAGACCTGAACCAGGACAGATAAACTTAACAGACCTTAGGAATATTATATTAGAAATAGTCAATAGTCAGTTACCTCACGTACTACAAGCTACATTAAATCCGAACGCAATTCAGACAAACGCCGTCGATCAAACCATTGACGCGGAACACGTAGGCAGTATAAGTGACCTAGATAGGATCCCCGATGTTGTCAAATGTCTGAGGGAATTTTCAGGGAAACCAGGAGAGTTTAACTCTTGGAGAAAGAGCGTGGAAAGAATTTTAAAAATATATGAAAACCTGAAAGGTACTCCAAAGTACTACGGTATTTTGAACATAATTAGAAATAAAATTGTAGGTAATGCGGACATAGCATTGGAGTCATACAACACTCCTTTAGATTGGCCAGCAATTTCCAAGTGCCTTACTCTACACTACGCCGACAAACGAGATGTATCCACATTAGAATACCAGATGACAGGTCTAATTCAAGGGAACTCCACAGTACAGGAATTTTATCAGGCAGTTTATTCACACCTATCCTTGATACTGAACAAACTAGGAGGTTTAGAAGCTGGAAATGAGGCTCTATGTCTACTAACACAAACTTATAGGAGCAAAGCCCTCGATACGTTTATAAGGGGATTAAATGGCGACCTACCAAGATTACTAGGAATGAGAGAACCAGCGGATTTACCCCAGGCTCTTCATTTATGTCTCAAATTAGAAAACCAAAAATTCCGTACTAACCATGCCCAAAATCAAAATATTCAACCAATTAAAAAAACCTATTATCAAACAACTCCGTCTCAAAGATATAATTTTCAAAGGAACAAACATCAGTTCAATCCAAACATAGCCTACATACCTAACCCACAAAATATTCCTAAAATGAACAATAATTATAATATGGGTATTCCAAGTTTCGGCCACCCAAGACAGCCTCCACCACGCCCAACGGCACCAAAGCCAGCGGAGCCAATGGATGTTGATCGCAGTATTCGATCCCAACAAATCAATTACGCAAATAGACCAAATCAAAACCAATTCTTAGGTAAAAGACCACCCAATCCACCGTCAAAACAAAACGTTAGTCCACCGAAAGCCCAACGAACATTCCATATAAATACAGATACAGGAGATACATTCGAGCCCGACAACATTAATTACGAAGATTATTCTGAAGAACATACACCACAAAATTACGACCAAGATCCGGAAAACTATTTCAATGACTCTTATCTAGAAAATAATATACCAAACTATGAAGCAGATTCCGAACTTGATGACATTCATTTTTTAGAATGACAAGCTCTTCGCTTCCATATTTTGAGTGTCGGACGAAGAGCGGGAAAATCTTAAGAATCTTGATTGACACGGGATCTAGTAAAAACTACATCCAACCGGACTTAGTAAAAAAAATAATTCCAAATGAAATTCCATTCTTTGCAAAATCTGTTGCAGGTGATGTAAAAATCACATCACACACGTACATAAACCTTTTCAAACTAGACGACAAACTTAAATTCTATCTAATGCCTAGTCTAAAATCCTTCCATGGCATTCTAGGTAATGACAGTCTAAAAGCCTTAGACGCAGTTATTTACACAAGTAAAAATTACATGATCGTTCGCAAGCATACGAAGGTTCAACTTAAGCAACATGCCAGTCAAAGTGTAAATACTATAAAATTACGAGATGACCATATGAACCCCAGGCAAATGAAAGCCATGAATTGTTTAATAGATAAATTCTCTAACCTCTTCGCAGAGCCAGACGAAAAATTAACTTACACAACCAAAGTAGTTGGAGAGATCCGTACATCAAATGATTCTCCAGTGTATACCAAATTCTACCCTTACCCGGCTTCATTAAAACGAGAAGTCGAAATGCAAGTAGAAAAACTTTTAAGCGATGGAATCATACAACCATCAAGATCACCATACAATTCACCTGTATGGATAGTTGATAAAAAACCTGATTCCCAGGGAAATAAACAATATAGAATGGTCATAGACTACAGAAAACTAAATTCCGTTACAATTTCAGATAGATATCCAATTCCTGAGATATCCGATGTTTTAGGAAAATTAGGAAATAGCAAATTCTTTTCTGTCTTAGACTTAAAAAGCGGATTCCACCAAATTCCATTAAAAAGCTCTGATGTAGAAAAAACTGCATTTTCTATAAATAATGGTAAATACGAGTTCACTCGCTTACCATTTGGTTTAAAAAATGCGCCGTCGATATTTCAACGAGCTCTCGATGATATTCTCCGCGAACATATAGGGAGAATATGCTACGTATATATCGATGATATAGTTATATACAGCAAATCTGAAGATGACCATATTCGGGATATTCATAATGTCTTCAAAACTTTAGAAGAAGCTAATATGAAAGTCCAATTGGACAAATGTCATTTCTTTAAACAAGAGGTAGAATTTCTCGGATTTATAATATCCGAAGCAGGTATAAAAACCAACCCCAAAAAAGTTGAAGCTATTGCAAACTTTCCACAACCCAGAACTATTAAAGAACTTCGATCCTTCCTAGGCCTTGCCGGATATTATCGCCGTTTTATAAAAGATTATGCAAAATTGGCAAAACCGCTGACGTCACTTTTGAGAGGTGAAGAGGGTCGAATATCGAAAAGACAATCGTCTAAAATTTCTATAGAGTTTAATGCAGAGGCGGTAGAAGCTTTTACAAAGATAAAAAATTCCTTAATATCAAGAGATATTTTGTTATACTATCCAAATTATGAGAAGCCCTTCGAGCTAACAACTGATGCCTCAGATTATGCTCTCGGAGCAGTTTTGTCTCAAGGAGACAAGCCCATTACATTTATATCAAGAACTCTGAATAAAGCAGAAGAACATTACGCTGCGAATGAAAAGGAGATGCTTGCTATTATATGGGCCCTTAACAGTCTTAGAAATTTTCTATATGGAGCGGCCAAAGTGAAAATATACACAGACCACCAGCCACTCACCTATGCTCTAAGTAATAAAAACAACAATAGCAAAATGAAGCGATGGAAAGCCATATTGGAAGAATATGACTATGAACTCTTTTATAAACCAGGAAAGAGTAATGTAGTGGCAGATGCCCTTTCCAGAGTGCCTGAAGTGTCGCAAGTTAATTCTATGTCG